TTGCAAGAAATCAAATAGAACGGAAAGAAAATACCAAGATATAATTGATTCTTTATTCGAAAGGAGGATCCATCCCTCCCAAATCTCTAGACGCCACTAGAGTCAAAAAAAAAAAAAAAACCTAAGAGATCTTAGATTCAGCCAAATTCAAGATGCCCTAACCCTAGGAAAACAAATTATTTAATGCATACAATCCAAAAGATCTAAACAGTCCCTACATTCAAATTCCTAACTCCCTAAAAAAATCCTTCCTAAACTGCTCAATTGGCTATTGCGGTTCAAGCGGTGTACAGGAGAGGCGGAACTCTTCCACCTCTGTTCCGCCTGAGCCGGTCCCGTGTGGACCAGCTGGACCGGTTAAACACTTTGCTGCTCTATTATTTAGTAGTTATATTTTAAATCACAATTTTAATTTGCTAGATATCGCACTTATGATTTGTATGATTATGCCAAAAACGTCTATTATGCTCAATCAAATAATTGAAAACAGACAGCCGTGGTGTTATTCAGGTTGTCGTTAGTTCTTGCGACCATCAAGAAATTGGCTCAACTCTGCCTTTCTCTTAAGAAACTGGGTAGCAAACAACATTGCAAAGCATTACCCTAAACAAATAACATTGTAGTGAGCTTTGGAAGCTGAAGAATATTATGAGAGTAACAGAAGTTATAGTAGCTTGGAACTGCAATTTTGCTACATCAATGCTAGCTTCTGGTTGGGAGCAGTTTTGGAGAGGGCAATTAGAATGCTTTAAGGCTTCATGACTGCATTATTTTAATCTTTGTTCCTGTTTGTTAATTGCATATCTGTATCTTAAGTGTGGTTTAATATGGTAGTACTAGAGTGAAGTGATGGCTTCTTGTATTGATTATAATATTTCTGCTTGGCTAATCTGTGCAATGCTCTCTATTCTCCTTGAAGAAGTGTGCCCTCAATAGGTGAGAAAATGTCAGCGCACTGAATGTATAAATGGCCATTTACTGGGATGTTTGGCAACTAGCAAGTGTTGTGGAAACCCAGTTTCATTGCTTTGATATCCTATGTGTAACTTAGAAAATTCAGCTTCAATAAGATCTTTTGATGCTCTGCTCCTTTTTCTGGTGAATATCATAACTGTATAGAAGATGAATCTAAAGATTCCTTACGGTTCAATCTTCCTCTTTTAATTAATTTTTCTGGTACATATACTTGCAGGAAGAATTTGTATAAACTAGGGAACTTAGGTGTTGATACCAAAAGGGAAAATAGTATGATTGACCTAGCATTCCAATGAAAGAATTCACCTAGAAACACTTATGAAAAATTGAACCTATAAGCGTTTATTTTTAAAATTTGTCATAGTTGCAATAGCCAAATATGTATGTTTTATGCTTGCTGAACTTTGTATGAGAACTGGAAAAGCTGCAGGAATATGGAATAAAAATCTACATTCCATATTATTGTTAGAAATTTTGGTTAATCATTTTTTCTCAAAATATTAGTTCTGACTGCCATTAAACATCTTTATTCACTTTTGATACATTTTCTTGTGGGAGAGCCTTAAAAACTTTTTTAGCTTATGGTTAATCAGATTTTTTTCCATTACTTATGATAATCGAGGTAGCATGCCATCAAGATACTCTACAGTGAGATTTATTCTTAAATAATTGGTATACTTGTGTGTTTAAAATCTTGCTGTTTGATAGATACCCTTTTGGAAGTTGCTATATTCTGGTTGGGCCATTGTTTAAAATTGTGCAATTGGAGGTGCGCCTCAGCGAAATTGTCGCTCGAAACGCATCGAGGTGGACACCTCGCCTTGAGGTGCCTTGCCTCATTTCTATGAGGTGTTGGCACAAAATAAGGAGTAAAAGAAAAATAAAAATAAAACATAAATCTATGCTTTAAACCTGACGTTCATCCCATCGTTCTGTTCACTTTTCACTACACACACGGTAGAGTTTTCAACGATTCGCTAAAAGCCTCTTTGCCTTCTTTGATCACATTTCCCGTTCGATCGAAAGTAAGGTAAGGTTCGATGATGCTTTTTTTGTTTGATTGGAAGTGAGGACAATTCGACGACGTTATTCCTGTGAGATCGGAATTCGGAAGTAATGACAGGACCTTTGCTCGATGTGGCAGTAGCCATATTTCTCTCCTTTCACGTGCTCCTTTGCCTCCTTTGACTTGTTCGCTGCTGTTCGACTTCGCTGCTATTGCATCATCTAAAGCAGATCATCTAAGTGGGTTTTTTTTTTTCTCCTTCTTAATTATACTAAAAGTAATTTGATATATTTTGGATTGTTTGGGTTCAATTCCTGATTACTATTTGGCATATTTCTTTTTGTTATAAATTTAAGGGTTTGATTTGGCGATAAAAGGTAGGATTGAAAATCAAGTGTTGTATTTCAGTCGAGATAATCTATCCTTTTTAACATTTTGATTGCAATTTCATAAAAGCCAGTCATCTAAAGTAGATCAATTGAATAGGATTTTGATTGCAATTATATAGAAGCCAGTCATCCAAACAACATGATTCGTTCAATTAGAGCATATAACAGAGGGTTGAAACCTCCATCCATTTATGATTTGAGGACATGGATTTTGAAGGAGTTGGATAAACCGAGAGAAGTATTGAGGAAATTAAGAGGACTTGAATCCAAACAAGTATACAATCTTGTTTGATGGATGGTTTGATGTGGATCTAAATTTTGATAAACATAATGATCAATAACCTTTATAGCACCGCATTTTTGAAGTCAATTGAGACATCTGATTAGGTGAAAGAGTATCTTTTTGGATTACTTGATAGTGTTGTTGAGGAGACTGGAGGGTACTTGTTTGTTCAATTAGTAACGGATAATGCTAGTGTTTATAGGGTTGCAAGCAAAAAACTTATGAACAAGAGGAAACATTTATATTTGACTTCATATGCAGCGTATTGTATAGATCTTTCATCCTTGAGAAGCTTGGGAAGCTTCCGCAACATAAGAATGTACTGACAAAGGCTAAGTGGATATGTAAATATATTTATAATCATTATTGGGTTTTGACACTTATGAAAAAATTTTCAAAGAAAGAAATAATTATGCCTACAACAATCAGATTTGTCACCGCTTATTTGACTTTGCAAAGTATGTTAGAGGCTAGGCAGTATGTTGGAGTCTTTGTTCACCTCTACATAGTGGTTAAGTTGCACTTGTGCAAGGAAATTTAAGGGGAAGAGGTTAGTAAGATTGTTTAAAATGATAAATTTTGACAGTGTCACAACCACTAGGACACTAGTGCATGTTCTGAGGATGGTGGATGCTAAGAAGAAGCCTACTATGGGCTTTATATACAATGCTATGGATGAAGCAAATGAACTAATTGCCCATAAATTTGGAGGAGAAGAGGACAGTTGTAGAGAAATTTGGAATATCATTGATGACAGGTGGGAGCTACAACTTCATTAGCACTTACATGCAATGAGCTATTATCTGAACCCTTAATATCAATATTCTGAAAACAGGTCAGCAAATCCAAGAGAAAAGCAAGATTATATCATTACATGTATTGACTCATAGCTGATTCGACTAAAAGATCAAATACTGACATGCAATTGACACCTTTAGGAATAAAAAATGTTTTTTTTTTTGTATTGCAACAAGCAAAAGACATTGTTTCCAAGCGATCTCCAGGTAATTTTATTTGTTATTTTAATATATTATGTACTCATTCATCACTTATTTATGTAAATCTCAGTTAAGTGGTTGATTCAATTTAGTGATGATACTCCAGAATTGTAGCGTTTTGCTGTAAAGGTTTTGGAATTAATGTGTTATTCATTTGGATGTGAACGTAATTTGATCGCATATAATAAGTGCACACAAAGAGGATAAATCATATGACAACCTTAAGGATGGATTCCTTAGTATACATCATGTATGATAAGAGACTTAAAGACAGGAACTTGAAGAAGAAATGGTTGAATGATGATGAAGATCCTTTGATTTATGAGGATATGACAACAAATGATGAGTGATTTGTAGATGATTAATTGGAGTTGACACCATTTGAATTACAAGAGGAAGATTTGGATGTTGATTTCTTTGATGGTAATAGAAATAGAGCATTTACATCCACCACAACCCATGGATCAATAGAATAAACCATAAATGGTATATAAAATATTTTGTTAAAACTTATTTACTTTGAAGTATTACTCATCCTTATATTGATGAAAAACATTTAGTAAAGAAGAAAATAATTAATATAGAGGAAGAAAAAGCAGATTGAAAGGTATTGGACTCCATAGGTGACGAGGCAAGGGAGAGTGCAATTTATTATGACAATGATTCATGTGAAGACCCTCTTAGTGATGACAACACTGAGGACTTCTAAGTTGCTATACTATTAATAATTCTTTCTTGATTTATATGTTGATGAGCAAGATATTGGGAAAGATATAATTTTAAGTTGAACTAAATTTTATATTGTTTGATTATTGTAATGCTTGGAATTCAATTATATTTTATGCAATTTATTACTTTCCACATTATGTCTTGTGTATTTTTGTGTTTCATATATATGATAATTTTTTTCTTAAGTCATCTTTTGATATATTGTATGATTATTATAAATAAAAAAACTTCATTTTGACTTTACGTAAGTTTTACATTTTCTGGCTTACGCCTCAAAATGCCTTGAGGTTTATGCCTCGTCTCACGGACAGAAAACACCTCAATGTCCGATTGCGCAATTGTAAACCATAGTTTAGGTTCATGCTTTAAGTATTTAAATGGTATGCAAAACTTGAGCATTGGTGCATGACCCAATATACTTTAAGACCTGTTATGATGGCTAAAATATTTTAGTTGATCTAGAGTCAGCGAAGCACTATATATCCATGTGGCTGTTTGCGTGAGAATAAGCATCATAATTTGCTTGTTTTTTTTTTTTTTTTTTTCTGTTGGAAAATTTCCCATTTAACAGAGTTTAGATTTTTTTTGATAAACATGACTTTACAGCTATTGATTTTCAGGCTAAGGCTGTGCATGGTGGTATATACTTCTTTCAGATCCAGTTTATTTCTTCTGCTGTTTTTTGAGCCTTTCAGTATAGCTTTTGAGACATCACTGGTAATTATTTGTTTGTATGCTTTTATAGCTCATGTATGAACGCCCAGTTTTCTCTTGTCCTGCAGCTTCAGTAATTTTGTGCTATATTTTGATGAAACTTTGTTTCTCTTCCGTCTTTTTTGGCAAAAGAATTGAGATATATGTAACAAAATCTGAGGTTTTCTGCAGTGCTCAAGTTAGTTTTTGAATGTGGCATCTGGAAAATTTAGGGAAAAAGCTCAAAATAGTCCCCTAACTATTTGTATGCTGCTAATTTATTTTCGAAGTATTGCATTTCTCCAATTTAATAGCTTGACTATACAAAATTGACCCCACATGATACCTCATGGGCTAAATTGGATCAATTTTGTATAGTCGAAGGACTAAATTGGGATTAATTTTGTATCCTAATTTACATCAATTTCTATCTGAGTGTTTATTTGGGATCAATTTTTCATAGTCGAGGCATTAAATTGAAGTAATGTGATGTTTTGGGGTTAAATTGACTACATACAAATAGTTAGGAGATTATTTTAGATTTTTTCTTGGAAAATATAGTAAACTAGAATTTTCATGGGTCTAGCTGCGTAGTATTTTTACTAATGTTGATGATGATTAAGAAAATGATATCTTACAATTAATATTCTCGGTGTTATAGAAGATTTTCAGCAAAAAGGAACTTCAAAACAGTTTTTGTCATGTGCACAACAAAATGGGAGAATATCATATTTACTTTCTTTTCTATAGTATGATTTCTTAAAAGCAATGCGTGCCCTTGGATGTGATGTATAAAATCTTATCTGAGAATTTGATTCTTGTTGTGGAAGAAACATTGATAGTCAAATTTTTGTTATATGTAATATCTTTAAAAAACTGCCAGTGCTCTAAATCCTCTAAAATCATACTTAGGTGGTGGAGGAAACAGTTGAAAATATACCAGCAGTCTACTACCTCTTATTTCAATTCTCTTTAACATTGATGCTGTTATATGAATTTTTGCAATTTTTATTATTTTATGTTCCTGCACCATGCTTGCTGATCACTTTTATTCTGCTTTGGCATGTTTTAAAAAAAAATTGTTTTGTAGGCTATCATGGTACATGGATTTCACTTGATTGAGGTATGGCATCGCCATTCAGTTGATGATGGCACCGACAATTTGGGTTCACATGATTTTTTGAAATCTGCAGCAGGTACATGGGTATTTCTGTGTTTTCATGCATCTAAGTTAGGTCACATTATTTCTGTGTTTCTATAAGGATATCACATGGTTTCAAGTATATTTTACATGTTCAGTAGTTTTATTTGACAAATAGCTGTCATTAGTAATTGTATTCGTGAATTCTTTTCAGCAAGTCATAACAGTTTCTCTTACTAAAACACACAAACTTGTGTGCTTGTCCGATTGTATATGTAGTTGCACATATTTTAACAAGAAAACAAAATAAGAGTAAACCTGTGATTCCCAAAGAAGAAAATATTGCTCAACCTAAAATTTGTTATGTTGCCAATCCGTTTGATAGGCGGACCAATGTGTTTGGGTAAAAATTCTCTATGGCGCCGTTTTGTTTGATGGAATTGAAATATAGGGAATGAAATGAAATATAATTGAAAGCTAAAACAATTGAATTGAAATTAATTTTCTTCCACGTGTTTGGTTGAGGAGAAAGTAAGAGAAAAATATATATTTTTGTTAATTTTTGTTTGTTGATGAGAAAATGAGTTTCTGTTTCTCATGAGAAAGAAACATGTATCACAGAGATGTCTAGACTTTTTCTAGTTATTTACTAGGGTTGAATTGGGAATTGCCAATGAAAAAATGCATTTGTAAGATTTTGGATTATTATGCATTGGAAGGTTCAATTTCTTCAGCATTTTAGTTGAAATGATGTTTGCATATCTTCCTTTGCATGGTGCACTGGGTATAGAATATTGTGGTTTAGCTAATCATCATCTTTACATTCAACACTCATCGGACAATAAGCAACTTATCTTCGGTTGTATGCAATAAGTGCCCGCCTTCTGATTTTGACATTTCTTCTTCATAACCATCCTGTTGAGGTGCTACGAGTAAATGATTTATTGATCAGGGTAATTAGAAGCGATATAGTCGAACCCCAACACCCGAAATGTTGTGTAAGTACTTAATTTGCTTCTATTTTTAGCTTGTGTTTGATCAAATGGAACATTTTGGGGTGGGGAACAATTGGAAATGTTCAGGGGTGGGAAATAATTCGTCCCTTAACGGCATTTATTGTTGGCTTTGTATGTTTCTTGCATAGATCTTGGTTGGAAATTCTTGGAAGATTGTTGTTATCTTTCTACCCTTATTGCACGTTGAGAATATAAAAAATAGTCCAATATTATTGAAGTTGCATTACATTGGCAACTGTGGGCTGCAAACTACCCAAGAATCTTGCATGGTAATGTCCGCTGATTTTGACATGTCATACTTTAGCATAACAACCGAAATTCAGTGGAATGCTCCAGCGAAGTCCCTTTTCTGTTTAAAGTTTTGGGTTTTAAGAACAACATCTTGATGAAAGTTAGAGGGAAAGTACCTTCGTTGCAACTCTTCTTAATCTTTTTTCACGTGAAGAACTTCCTTTTGTCTTCTCAGTTTTCTTTTAAGGTTCTCTCACTACATTTAGACATTCTTCTATAGCTTGATAGGCACCAACATTACTTGTTGATTGGTTAACACTTTTTTGTAGCCTTTGATGCACTCCATTGCGTGTCTATGAAGTCATCCGGATTCAAGCCACCTTCAAAGTATGGGATATCTACCTTCAATCCAATGTCTTGATATTGTTGTCTTCATTCCCTTCATGGAAACTGTTGCTAGTGCTCTTCCTCCGCCATTGATTCTTGCAACATTTGATGGATAGGGTCCTGCATCACTCGGGGTTCCTGATTGTCATCCTAGTTAAAGGGATAGTTATGATTTTAAGAGTGGCTAGGGTTTACATACAATTATATTCACAAAATTCAGCTCTACAGAAGAAAATAAAATCATAACCAATTTGTTGATTTCCCCATTTAATGATCACCTTGATTGAAAGTTTTGATTTGCTTAATTTTTCATTGATTCTATTCCCTTATGATTCATAGCAAAATAAAATTCCTGTAATATTATTTAGCTTGGGAATCAGTTAAGTTGTACAAAGGCTCTTCTAGATATGTCCAGAGGGAGAAATTCTGGAAGGCATTTCTCGAGACTTCTGAAGTAGAGAATTGATGCAGGACTACTTAGATGCGATGCTTGTGGATTCATTTAGGCATTGCACAACTCTTAGATTAGAATAATTTTGGATTAAAATTACTAGCAATTCTCAACGACGAATAAAACAAATAAAGAGATACTTTGCGTAGGCTAAATCACATGTTCCGAGTTTTGAACTCTCAAAATAAATAAGAAAAATAAAACAATACAAAATAGTAGTCTTCAAAGTAATCCCTAATCTAACAACGAGATTTAGGATGCAAAGAAAGTACGCTCAATCCCTATGATTACTAAGCTTGACAAGAGCACTTGGAGGAGACTTTCGCGAATACAATCACATCAATGAGAATTTAGACTTTAAAAGAAATAAGATGCAAGTGAAAGAGAAACCTTTGCTAAGGAGAGGTGGAGATCCTCCACTCAAGGCCTTCGAAGTGTTCGTCAATGGCTTCCATCTTGCTAATGGTCTCGAACGTCGCCGAAGAGAAAGAAGTTTCTCGTGTATGTGTAGATGAAATTAACTCTAAGTTTCGGTTCTCAGAAAACTGAAACAATTTCAGATTTTGGAGCAAAATCTGAGAAAATTTCAGATTTACTTAAGTGTAGTAGGGAGGGAATTTGGAGGGGGAAACTTCTGGCTTCACGTCTTGGTGGAGAGTTGCCGCATGAGAGGCGGTGGAGAGAGGCAGGGAAAATAAAGGCTTGATTTGCTTCCAAAATAGGACTTTCCTATTGGAATAAATCAAACAGAAAAGGCCTGGTGGAAATTCGGCTAGAGGGAAATTAACGTGGCTTGGATCAATTGCCTAAAATAGGATTCTGTACTTAGGAAATAAATCCTAATTCAAATTCAGATAGTCGGTAGCATTAGTGGAAGAGAGCTGGAATTATGGGGAGCCATTATTGCACTCAATTGTGGTTACTTAATTGGGATTAGTAGAGAGGAAAGTTTTTAATTAAATCCAATTCAAATAGATTTAATTTAGGAAGTTTCCTAAAATAGATTTGATATTTTACAGAAGATTTTAAATTTCAAATAGACAAATTTGAATTAAAAAAAATCTGTCCCCAAAAGATCCAATCCCAATTAGGCAATGGAATTGAAGGGAGAAGAGGGAGTGGGCTGAACCGGCGGTGGGATTACTGGAGCTGACGGGTTAGGGGAATCAGGTTTGGTGGTCGGCGGTTGTGGGAGATAATTTTGGGGAATTAACTATGGGGAGGAGGAGGGAAATTTGGGTGGTAGCGTTTAAAGCGACGAAGACGAATGGGGGGAGGTGACGAGGGAGAACGAAAATACAAAGAGAAAACCACGAACCCGACCGTCTCCCAAGTTGGTGGGTAATACTGTTGGAGAATTTTTTTGTATCCTCGAACGGATTGCATATTTTATAATCGGGCATGGCATAAGAACACAATATATTACCCCGGAGGGTAAAAATATCATTTCCTTATGGGCTCAATAATAAAATATACAATTACTTAACAGAGATTCCCCCACTCAATGTTTGGTTGAGTGGGGTTTATTTATTTCTGGGGTACAGACATCCCATAGGGGCAAGCCCTTATGGTTAATTACATCCCAAGTTTGATTTGGGAAAACTTTTGATTAAATTAGTGGTTTTCTTCATTTTTTTGAAGTCATTCAAATGTTGGCTAAAGATTGTTTTTTTTTTTTTTTTAAATCCATGAAAGTCTTAGTTAAAGGTTTTTGGCCCTTTAGAATTTCAAGGAAAAGTTGAAGAGATCAACTAAGGATTAGATTCTGGGAATGAAAGCCAAAAGAGGTGAAGTAGGGGCACTTGATTCTGAGATGAAACTCAGAGGTGCCCAAACTATCCTATATTGGGCTTTACTTTTTTGAATCTAAATTTGGTTTGAGCTGATATTTTATTAGAAGATTGGGGCTTACATCCCAACAACACTTGTTGCAGGAATTGCCCTAAAGATGAGGGCTTATAGGGTGATTTGAAATCAACCCTTGCCTCGGACCCTAAGACTAAGGTGAGGACCACCGATAGTAGTGCCTCGAACCTAGATCTAACGAGTGCAAAGAGGGACTTACAAGCTACACCTCACAAGAGGCATAACCC